GGGACGACTCCTTCAAGCTCGCCAATGTGGTCTTCTTTCTCAAAGACATATTGCTCCGATGGTGTGACAACCACAAAGAAGCCATCAATTCCTGGGACGGCTTCAAAACGGCGTTTTCAGACGCTTTTGTTCAACCCGAACACCGCAAAGAGAAGGCTTGAGACCAGGGCTGGGCAGAGATACTTCAAAAAGTATTCAGGAATACAAATACTGATGCAATGCGTTTGAAGGCCCAAGATGCTGCTACTGAGATACATTTGTCTTCTACATGCAACCGGATATCCCTGAGTTACTACTGCAAAAACGGCGAAAGATTATTCTGGAATACAGATGCAGATATTTTTTAAGTACATTTGTTACCGAACGGTGCTACGTGGGGAGGGTGTAGTTCGTGGCGATGCGAATGGTAATTTATGCTTGTGCTACGTTTTTGTGCCATTTTATGCTGTTTTTCTTACCTCGAACTCTAATTCTCAATAATGCCGCTGTAACCACATAGGTATACACAACGGTAAAGACTGCGTGCCATGCTTGACAAAGGGCGTTTGCCCGAAATGAACCCTATTTTGCCGTGAGGGCGCATCTCGAACTCGTATTATCTGCTTCTGTGTCACCCATAGTATGGGAAGATTGAACAAAGGGGCCACCGTTTTTCTCCACTCAACTCCTTTACAGCGTTCCCTCTGCTAATGACTGAGATGAATCATGTTATAGGGCGTGCTCATATTATAGAATACGAAGCAACTTGCACCAAACAGATGTTTTTATCTTTTAAATTTATTTTAAAGAGGACAAAACTTTAACGAGATACCTAAGTCTGGCCAAGTATCGCGATACAAGCGACACATCGTAAATGTATTTATCTACTATCGCGATACTATATATCGCGATAGTAGAGAAATACTATCGCGATAGTATAGTAGAGAAAGATACTATCGCAATACATTTGTATCGCGATACTGCCCAGTCCTGTTCGAGACCAACTACAACACAGATACCAGTCAACAACAAAATCGTCAACCACTTACATAGAAGATATCCTCCGACTTTGTCGCCGAGATGACTCCAAGATGAGCGAAAAGGACAAAATTTCCCACCTATTCAAAGAACTCTCACAAGAACTATATTCCATCGTAGCCCCCCAGTCTCCGCCGACAGTGGCTCAAATTGGAATCTGAATGTCGGAAGTACGAGGAGCTCGACAACGTACGAATCCTCGAGGCCGTTCGAGCACTTTCCTGAGGTGTCTCTTGCTTCCCACGCCGACACGAACCTCTCGAACCTGATACGTACAATCATCCGCGAAGAACAAAGGTATTTTCTTGGGCAGCAGCGTACACCGTCTGGTGAGCGCCACGACATCAAATCAGCTATCGGAGATGAACCTCCTTCTGCTTTAGAGCCCCTTCCCCGCAGCACCCCCCCATATGTGCCTGCCGTACACCGGCCAACACCCTTGTGCGCATACCGACAACTTCTACCTTCATTTGAAGCACGACCAGGACAATCTCCTCAAACACGCCGCCAAGCCGATGTCTGGAGGACCCATGACAACCAACCAATACGCTTTTATTGCCACGTTTCTGGTCACGTCCTCCGCTATTGTCGTCGCCGGATGATACAAGCCCCCACCCATGCTCCCTTCAAGAAACCGCGACATCTTCGAAGACCGCCACCCTTGTTATGATAACCGGCATGTCGAAAACTCGTCTTTTCGTCACTTTTCAGGACCTTACGCCGATAACACTAACACCGGAATCGTTGCTCATGACCGCTCAAGCATCCCCGTCGCGCAACCTACACCCCGGCGTGGTCGCTCACCGACACCCTACCCTTGTCGTCGCCGCTGTATTTCTCTATTCAATGGTCCCATCACTTCGACGTCTCAGCAGTCAAACTAAAGACCGCAGCCTGCATCGACAATGGAGGTCAGGCTGCATCTCAACAATATGCAAAGAATGCTTCTTTTGCGGGTCCAACGAATTTGATTGCGGAAATAGGACATCAAAACTTTTTTGACTTAGGCGACACTGGCGCCGGAAAGTCGTGCATTCCCGAGAACGTTTATCAACGCTTACGAAAAATGCTCACGCCCCGATCTGAGGGCCACCTACTCCGCATGGGCAATGGTGAATTGACGCGCCCCCTCGGGTGCTATACAGCGCACTTAAGGCTTGGTGGCAAGCGATACATTCTCATGTTCACTGTACTTACCACCTGCATCGCTGACGTCATTCTTTCGCTGACATTTGTTTTGTTCAATCACCGCTTTCGTCAACTGTGCACATCGTGAAATCAATCAAATTATTCAGTCGACATCGGGGAATGTATTGAGACCCCACTTACCGTCCTTCATACAGACTATTACCCGATGTAAACACTTGACTCTGTCGTTGCTGCCAGCCTCATCGTTCCGGACTCAGTCAATCAAACCTTCGCACTCATCGAACCTATTCATGGCACGTTCACAAAGAAAGAAGTCGTCATCCCTTATTTTCTTGCGTCCATCTCAGTGGATAAATGTAACATCTGGATCGCCAACACTTCAGTCCAGTCGCAGGTATGAGAAAAGTTTCGCCACATTAGTCCCCACTGCTGCAAATACCAAGCCCCTCACCGACAACGACTTCATCGAACACATACAGAAGATGATAGACACAGCTCTCTTCCCAGACCAACTTCCAGAAGTTGGATTTTCTACTCTGCTTTTACAAGGACATTTTCGACTTCAGCGCCCAAACGTTAGCCCGAACGTTGCTTGTCGAACATAACATTGATACCTGTAACTCTTGCCCAATTTAAAGCAGACCGTACCGAACCTCTGCCGCGGAGCGTGGAATAATAAAACAACAAATTGATAATATGCTAGAAAAAGGAGTGATCGAGCCTTCGTCCTGCCCTTAGTCGTCTCCCGTCGTCCTTGTTCGAAAGAAAGATGGCACCTGGCACTTCTGTGTGGACTATCGTAACCTCAACGAAGTCACGGAAAAAGAAGTCTACCCTCTGCCAAGAATCGACGATACACTCGGCAGGCTACAAGGCTCGTCCTACTTTTCATCAAACGACCTTCGAAGCTGTTACTGACAAGTTCCTCTTACCCTACTTATAAACCTAAGACCGCCTGTATAACGTATGATGGCCTTTACCATTCTAACGTTATGCCTTTCTGGCTCTGTAATGCGCCAGCAACATTCAGGTGCACGATAGATGCTCTACTTTGTGGCTCATCTTTGAATATTTGTATCTGTAACCTGGACGATATTGTGGTCTATTCTCAAAATTTGAAGAAAACATCTCACGACTCCGCACAGTTCTTGAATGCATTCTTACTGCTGGACTCTAGTTGAGCATCAAGAAGTGCATTTTCGGCGCCCAGGAAATCGAAGTGCTCTGTCATCTAGTTAGTGCCGACGTAGTGCGCTCAGGTCCTATCAAGGTATATGGGCCGTATCAAAATTCCTTGTCCTACAAAACGTCAAGCATGTGCGGACGCTAATGCACTCACTTTCGAAAATTTATTCATCGATTTTCTCACATTGCTGAACTTTTAAATTAAGTGCTCCGCAATGGCATCTCTTTTCGATGGAGCCGAGCCCAAAATACGTCATTTGAACACTTAAACATCTGCTGGCCAGAGTCCTTGTTTTTGGTCACTTCCTCGAACGTCACGACACCGAAATTCGAACCGACGCCAATGCTGTTGTAGGGTGGAAAGTTGGGCTAGTTGGTAGTTATTCATCTTGGTATTAAAAGCGCACAAAACACGAGGGCAGAGTAAGAAACACAAACGACGGACGAGCGCTCACTCGCAACTGATAGGTTTTATTGGAACCTCAGAAAACACAAAACCTCAGAAACACAAAGTGTTCGTAACGAGGAATAGAAAACTGAGTGAGCATATCGTTAGTAATGTTAACTTCAGTCAAAATAAAAACATCTATGATCGCACCCAAATCTCGGACAGTAATCATGAACTGATCCCAGTACTTCCTAATACTTCTTATGTTAACATGAAGCACACTAAACGAAAGTTCCGATGATCCTTTGAATTTATTTTTCAGTAACGAAAGACTTGAGAACTCAAGACACTCCATAGCAGCAACTATACAATTTTGTCCAAGTCAGCAACACGATCAACGCGCAACAGTGACGAACTCTCGTCCTTTTTCACAAAGACCTTTCCCCGTTTCACCCACGCGAATTTATATTGATTTTCTTTTGCTTTTTCCTTGGCCAACCAGAACAGCTGTCGGTTCAGCTTCGTAAGGTTTTCGTTGATGTACAGCTGAGGCACAACAGCAGCCGCAACAAGAGTACGCAGTTTGCCACGCGCACCGAGCCACCGATCTTTCGTTTCTGTTGACTTTAATTTAATCAGCACTATTGGGGTAAACCCAGGCTAGCAGGGAGACGATGTACTGCTAGGATATCTGAAGTTGCAAAGTCGGATATCCCAAGCTGTACCGCGAGGTCGTTTACAGCTTTTCTGAGATCTTCGTCGCTTGCCGGTGGTAGCCCGTGAATTTCCAGGTTTGCACGACGGCTGTACTGCTCTCCGTTGTTAATTTCTTCTCGCAGGGATTGGATCGTCTCCGCTTGGCCACTAACAGTTTCTTGCAGCTCCGCGTGTTGCCTTTCTAGCGTACAGATCTTGTTCCCGTTTTCCGTTGCGCTTTCTAGAACAGAGTTGTAGTTAGCCGATAGTCCGTCTACCTTGCTGTCCAACTCTTGTATATGGGCTTCGAGCCTTACGACCGTAGGCTTCAGAGTCAGCAACTCGTCCACCTTAGCAGGTAGTAACAGTAGCGTGTCAGCACTTCACTTCATTGCCAGCAAGGAATCTAACTTCAGTTCAAAGGACTGCAACTGGGCTGAGACTGCTGATTGGCTCCCGTCCGACGAGTTCTGCGAAGAACACGCTCCGCTGTGGGGCCCGCTTCTACTCTCCTGCGTGCGACAGGTTTTGCAACGCCACTTATCGCGTTTTGCTGATCCCATACTTGCATAGGACGCTTCATTAACTCCAGCACACGCCTGGCCCAGGTGGTACACATTTTTGCACACTGAACACAACAAAAACTTTTCATCATTAACGATCTTTTCCAGACAAGCCAAGCACTCTTTCTCATTATTCATGGTGCACAATAGTTGCAGGCAAACACTTCAGTCGGTGGCAGAAAGGGAGGCAAATTTTCGAAGAAAGTCTTTGAAAGTACTCTCACCTGGTGAAGAAAATACAATGGAGTGGGTAAGGTTGATTCAAAGCGCTTCGCCACCGACTGCGTTGACGACTTCGCTGAAGCTGACTTTTATGGTCTTGTGGGCGGCGACGAGCATGCGCTGTTGACGCTGGCACTGCGATGAAGAGGGGGGCGTGAAGGGACCATGCGAAGTGGATTTGCTGACGCTGCTCAGCCTCGTCACGGTGCCAGCATGTTCCGTCTGGGAGAAACCGCAGCGTCCCTGCGTAGAAAACTGGTGAAGAAAATACAATCGAGTGGGTAAGATTGATTCAAAGCGCTTCGCCACCGACTGCGTTGACGACTTCGCTGAAGCTGACTTTTATGGTCTTGTGGGCGGCGACGAGCATGCGCTGTTGACGCTGGCACTGCGATGAAGAAGGGGGCGTGAAGGGACCATGCGAAGTGGATTTGCTGACGTTGCTCAGCCTCGTCACGGTGCCAGCATGTTTCGTCTGGGAGAAACCGCAGCATCCCCGCGTAGAAAACTGGTGAAGAAAATACAATCGAGTGGGTAAGATTGATTCAAAGCGCTTCGCCACCGACTGCGTTGACGACTTCGCTGAAGCTGACTTTTATGGTCTTGTGGGCGGCGACGAGCATGCGCTGTTGACGCTGGCACTGCGATGGAGAGGGGGGCGTGAAGGGACCATGCGAAGTGGATTTGCTGACGTTGCTCAGCCTCGTCACGGTGCCAGCATGTTCCGTCTGGGAGAAACCGCAGCGTCCCCGCGTAGAAAACTGGTGAAGAAAATACAATCGAGTGGGTAAGATTGATTCAAAGCGCTTCGCCACCGACTGCGTTGACGACTTCGCTGAAGCTGACTTTTATGGTCTTGTGGGCGGCGACGAGCATGCGCTGTTGACGCTGGCACTGCGATGGAGAGGGGGGCGTGAAGGGACCATGCGAAGTGGATTTGCTGACGTTGCTCAGCCTCGTCACGGTGCCAGCATGTTCCGTCTGGGAGAAACCGCAGCGTCCCCGCGTAGAAAACTGGTGAAGAAAATACAATCGAGTGGGTAAGATTGATTCAAAGCGCTTCGCCACCGACTGCGTTGACGACTTCGCTGAAGCTGACTTTTATGGTCTTGTGGGCGGCGACGAGCATGCGCTGTTGACGCTGGCACTGCGATGAAGAGGGGGGGGGGCGTGAAGGGACCATGCGAAGTGGATTTGCTGACGCTGCTCAGCCTCGTCACGGTGCCAGCATGTTCCGTCTGGGAGAAACCGCAGCGTCCCTGCGTAGAAAACTGGTGAAGAAAATACAATCGAGTGGGTAAGATTGATTCAAAGCGCTTCGCCACCGACTGCGTTGACGACTTCGCTGAAGCTGACTTTTATGGTCTTGTGGGCGGCGACGAGCATGCGCTGTTGACGCTGGCACTGCGATGAAGAGGGGGGCGTGAAGGGACCATGCGAAGTGGATTTGCTGACGCTGCTCAGCCTCGTCACGGTGCCAGCATGTTCCGTCTGGGAGAAACCGCAGCGTCCCTGCGTAGAAAACTGGTGAAGAAAATACAATCGAGTGGTTAAGATTGATTCAAAGCGCTTCGCCACCGACTGCGTTGACGACTTCGCTGAAGCTGACTTTTATGGTCTTGTGGGCGGCGACGAGCATGCGCTGTTGACGCTGGCACTGCGATGAAGAGGGGGGCGTGAAGGGACCATGCGAAGTGGATTTGCTGACGCTGCTCAGCCTCGTCACGGTGCCAGCATGTTTCGTCTGGGAGAAACCGCAGCGTCCCCGCGTAGAAAACTGGTGAAGAAAATACAATCGAGTGGGTAAGATTGATTCAAAGCGCTTCGCCACCGACTGCGTTGACGACTTCGCTGAAGCTGATTTTTGTGGTCTTGTGGGCGGCGACGAGCATGCGCTGTTGACGCTGGCACTGCGATGGAGAGGGGGGCGTGAAGGGACCATGCGAAGTGGATTTGCTGACGTTGCTCAGCCTCGTCACGGTGCCAGCATGTTCCGTCTGGGAGAAACCGCAGCGTCCCTGCGTAGAAAACTGGTGAAGAAAATACAATCGAGTGGTTAAGATTGATTCAAAGCGCTTCGCCACCGACTGCGTTGACGACTTCGCTGAAGCTGACTTTTATGGTCTTGTGGGCGGCGACGAGCATGCGCTGTTGACGCTGGCACTGCGATGAAGAGGGGGGCGTGAAGGGACCATGCGAAGTGGATTTGCTGACGCTGCTCAGCCTCGTCACGGTGCCAGCATGTTTCGTCTGGGAGAAACCGCAGCGTCCCCGCGTAGAAAACTGGTGAAGAAAATACAATCGAGTGGGTAAGATTGATTCAAAGCGCTTCGCCACCGACTGCGTTGACGACTTCGCTGAAGCTGATTTTTGTGGTCTTGTGGGCGGCGACGAGCATGCGCTGTTGACGCTGGCACTGCGATGGAGAGGGGGGCGTGAAGGGACCATGCGAAGTGGATTTGCTGACGTTGCTCAGCCTCGTCACGGTGCCAGCATGTTCCGTCTGGGAGAAACCGCAGCGTCCCCGCGTAGAAAACTGGTGAAGAAAATACAATCGAGTGGGTAAGATTGATTCAAAGCGCTTCGCCACCGACTGCCTCCCCGAGAAGCTATCTGAAAGGCCTCCAAGATCTCTCTCGCCCTCTGTTCTTTATATGTGCCCAAAATATCTGTGTCACCGAACGCTGGAGAGCAGCCGCACCGGTCACAGTGGACAGCCAGGTGGCCCGACGGTGTCGCTCGAAGAGAGGCACGGTGCTCGTCCAGCGCTCGTCCGTCGTTTGTGTTTCTTACTCTGTCCTCGTCTTTTGTGCGCTTTTAAAACCAAGATGGCCAATGCTGTTCTTGCTCAACATCACAGCAACCAGCATCATGTCATAGCATTTGCTAGCCGAATCCTCACGAAAGTCGAACGCAATTTTACAACAACAGAAAATGAATGCCTAGCAGTCATCTGGGGCAGTTTCCAAATTTCGTCCTTACTTGTATGGCTCATCCTTTCGTATTGTCCCCGAAAATTACGCGCTCTGCTGGCTTGTTAGTATAAAAAATTCATCAGGACGCCATGTCCACTGGTCTTTGAAACTCCAGGAATACGCTTCACAGTTGTATATAAAGCACGCAAGCGACACCTCGACGCCGACAGTCTATCTTGGTGTCCTCTTCCCAACAACGCGCCACTTTCTAATGAGCGTCACACAGCAGAGATTACGGCAACCCTTCATAATCTTGACATGGCATCAGCGCAACTCACTGACCACTGATTCATTCGTTGCAAGGTTCTTCAACATCTTGCCCTCAGCATGTTCAGCCGACGTGCCCGCCTCTTTTTTCTTCAAAATAACGTTCACTACAGACACAGCTATGAGCCCCAAGGACGGCAATGGCTTCTAGTTCTCGTTGTACACAAATACCTACAAAAAGACATAATTTAAGTTAACCATGACAATCAAACCACCGGCCACCTCTGATTTTCTAAAACGAACTTTCGAATTTGTGACAAATTCTTATGGACTGGCATGCAGCGAACAATTAACAAATTCGTGCGAGCATTTCACTTATGTCAAACCAAGAAACGACCCACACAACTACCTCCCGATCCTCTCCCGCTAATTTCGCCACTCCTCTAACCGTTTCAACGCATTGGAATCGATGTCCTTGTCCCTTTTCCTCAAAAGAAAAGAAGAAATCGGTGGATAATTTTGGCAGTTCACTACCTATAACACTATACGCTGAAACAGAGACGCTTCCGGCAGCCACAGCCCTTCGTGCAGCAGATCTCTTTCTACGCAAAATTCTTCTAAGACCCAGCGCCCCTCAGTCTATTATCACGGACCAAGGAACATCCTTCATGCGGACCCTTCTTCAAGAAGTCTGCCTCCTCGCAAGAACAATTTTTCATATAAGCACAGCCTACCATCCACAGACGAATAGATTGGCAGAAAGATTCAATCACACGCAAATCGACATGAATTCGATGTATGTCACAGATGGCCAGGATATATGGAATGCTATTTTGCCATACGTAACACATGCCTGCAATACCAGCCGGCAGAATACTACTACCGGATTTCAGCCTTATCTTTTGTATGCGCGGAAAGCGATGTCCACCATTGACACGCTGTTACAGTACATCGATGACTGTTCTCTCGACAGATACTTCTAAGTTGTCCTTTTCAATGCCGAAGAAGCTCGACAGCTCTCACGTATTCGCACCCAGCGTTCCCAACAACAACAGATCACTCGTCACGGCGAGCACCAGCCTCCCGTCTCCAACAATGTTGGCGACGAGGTTCTTGTCTGGACACCTTCTCGTCGGTTTGGAAGGTGTCAAAAACTTCAGAAACGCTTCAAGGGCGCATTTCGAATCTCTCGTAAGCTGTCCTCTACAAACTACGTACACCTATACATTCGCTCCAGCACCACCGCTCTAAATCTACCGATATCGACCACATACTACCGTCAGGTCTAATAACATCTGCGGCCGGTGGACCGGCCCTTTCCCCGAGGGTCGTATACTGTCAAAAAGAAAGAAGAAGCGGGACTCAGGCGGCAGTGCGCGAGCTGAGCTCTCTTGGATCTGCATCGAAGGGTCACCGTGGCCGCACCCTCGTAATCAAACTACATTAATTGTATTAAATCGATCCATCCATCCTGAGCCTTACAATATATAGCGTAGTGACATCGTTATGTACGCACTTTCACAAAATAGCTAAAACGTGATTCAAACAAAGGTTTGATCAGTCAGGTAAAGAACGTGCGGTGAACTTGTTTAAGCTAGGTAAAAATGGCGTGGATAAATTTTTTTTTTTGCAGCTACTAACAGTTTTATGAACAAAATGTAAGGGCGCAAACGAGCTGGTGTACATTGCACATGGTTGAAAAAACAAAAAACCGAGACTGCGGGTAAACGACAC